TGAGCCGCGTCAGTGCGGGCAGCCCTGCTCTTAATCAGAGGCTCTGTTCGAAAAAACCTGGGCTGCATCCTCCAAGGACGCGGTCTACCTAGACTGGATCCTTCGAAGTCCTTGAAAATAAGGAGGCCGGAAGAGTTTTGTCTGTAAATTCGAACAGGTCCACCCTTCGGCGGGTTTTACCGGCGTATGCTCTGTTGCTTAGCAACCGTGAAAGTTGACACACAAAGCAGGAAAAGAATGAATACCGAGGTTTTCAAAACTGTTTGTTTATTTATTTATTTTTAAAAACGTTAAAGCGAACAAAGACTACACTCACAAGAATCCAGAATGGAATAAATGTTCCAACCACCGGGAGCAGGAACAAATAAAATAAAATGTAATGATAGAAACCTTAGTCAGTTAAATAACCTGCTGCTGTCATTTTGCACATCTCTGATGTTGCTGCTATTTTCAAATATCCATTACTGTAAAAATGTCCATAGCTGCATATTGGTTATTAATTCTCCAGTTTTACATTGTTAAAACACTTTACAGTATTTTATTGTTTATATTTTAACTCTTCCCAATAGGGCTTGGTCGTCGTGACGTAAGCACTTCGCGTCGCCGCCATGTTGAATGCGTCTCTTACCGCGGCTCAGACTACTGCCTATGAATACCGCGTACTGTACTCCCTCTCAGCCGTGTTTTAATTTGATTAATTTCACCTTAACTTGATTTCAACCATGGTAAACCGTTGCTGTATTGTGGGCTGTAACAGCTCAACACATGATCGCCATGGAAACATAGAAAATGGGTTAACTTTCCACCGCTTTCCTGACTGGAGGCGTAACCATGGAGACCAAGCGTCAGAGATAAAGAGTCGTCGGCTAGCTTGGATCGCGGCTGTAAGACGACCGAACATAACTTTCCACAGTATTCCAATGTCATTGAGAGTGTTTTCCCTGCATTTTCATTCTGGTAAATTAAAGATGCACGGTTTTATTTTATAGCCTACTTTGTTTCTTTCCTTCAAAGTTGGGATCTTTTACGGGAAAATAATAAAAACGGCAGCGGGAAAAGGCTCAAATACGTGAGAAACCCGGAGGGTTGGCAGTTAACGTTACTAACTACACATTTGAAACACATAGCAGCTAGTTAAAAGTACATTACATGCGTGAGTGGTTGTTAGCATTAGCGGTTAGCAGTTACTAAACTAGCAGGTTCCAGAGCCCGTCTGATCACAGCTTACCTTCGTACGGATTACTGTGTTCCCACTGTTTGCTGGCTTTATGATCTGCAGCTCCTGAACCCATCCATTCATGAACTGCACATGAGACTCCAAGGACTTGTAGCTTGGGAACTGTTTTGAAGTATAGGCGCTCACTCATCGGTGCTCCACTCATTGTTTGGAACTTTATATGGATCCAAATGATTAATAATGCTGATTTTGTCACCGTACCGGTCCCTGGCTTCTCTATTTAATGTGTCCCGGTAAATTCCAGATCCTTTTAGGGATTTTAACATCTTTTTTCTCTCTACTTCTGTCTCTTCTTTCAACAACAACGTTGTGTCAGAGCTAAGTTTACGTTTGCGTAGCAGTCAGTATGGCTGCGACGTCCCACAATGCAACGTGGATCCCGAGCCCTATTATGTTATTCTTAGACATTTTTCTAAGGTCCTCATTTGAGTGACCATTTTCAATAATCTTTCTGCTGCTGTAAATTTGCCCATTGTGGGACAATAAAGGGATTTTCTATACTATAAAAGGGTTAGAAATACATAAGTAAATCTAAACAATGTATGTATAAAAATATATCTGCAAAATCTCTAATATTCAACAACAAAAAATACTTAGTTAAGCATATTGTGCAAAACAACAATAAAAAAATTAAACTCCTATCACATTTATAGTTCCCACTCTGCAGATCTACTAGAATCTGTCCTTAAATTACAGCCAAACTCATTTACACAGTAACAGATAAAAACCTTTAGATAAATCAAACATTACCGCCACATATCTGACTCAATAACCATTAAAACAACTATTTTCATTAATTTCAGACGGAACTATTCACAGAGTTGTAATATATTAAACTGAACTTCCAATTTTCACCACTGTTCTGCGGCAAGTAACATTTCCTCTGATCACGGAGCAAATCCCGATGATGAGACATTTGTTCTTTCAATCACCACCCAACCCCACCCCCCCCCCCCCCCCCCCCGCTCCAAGGTGTCCTGGTTTACCCAAATGAAAATATGGTAACCCAAATTTTTCGGTCGTTTAGTTAGCGTTAGCGTGCATGACCGGCTCCGTCATTCTGGTTTTCCTTTAGTATGAGCGCCACAGGCGTCACGTCACGTGACTAAGAAAATGTAACGGGATTGGCTGGGTGTTGGACACCACAATCCATTGCTAATGTCTGTGACATGAAGTAACCCCTTCCCTTTTTACACTGAATTTAGACGTCGAATTTAAGACCGTGAAATAGAGCCAGTTGAATCTCAGGAGGCTGAAAATATTGAGTTTGAATTTTGAAAGGTTGAATTTTTTTATATGCTGATTGAAAATGTAATCACTTTGAAATAGTAATGTGAATTTTTAGCTTGAAGAGAAAATAACAAATGAAATTTAAACATTGTAGAAATAATGACAATGATTTTTTTTAGGTCAAAAATGTGTTCTGAATATATTTTAAAACTGAAACAGTAACATTTAAATTTCAGTGGCGTTTTTTTATTCAAATCCCAGCGACACAGATTTTCTTCCTAGAAATGTGTTGTTATCTGGTCAGTTAGTTGCTGCTGTTCTGTTAGGTCATCTAGTATTTGACGTCACATGCTGTCTGGAGACATAGAGAAAGAAATGGAAATTATTTATTATTGTTTTTTATCAGAAGCTTTTTTGCAAATATCTTTCCATCTGTTCTACTATTCTGATAATCAAAAAAATTATTTGGCAACACTTGGCAAATTTGAGGAAGTTATTTTGAATTTTGTTGTTCTCATCAACTTTTGAGGTGCCATACTTTTCAATCCATGTAAAAAATGTGGTTGAAAACACAGCTGCTGATCATTGTTGGTCTAAATGATTTAGGAAGGAAGTCTTGTGACATTGATGCTTTTTTAATGAATACTGCGACAGTCAAAGGGTTTGCTATATAATTAGCCTCCAAACAAACATTGCACTCCATCCTACCTTGCAATATTGACATTGGTTTCATTTACGTAGGGTATTTAGTGCAGGTTTAGTTCAGTATGATGACCCTATCATATCAAACCCAGTGGCGGCTCTGAAACAACGGTGTTAATTAAATCCAAATGTCAAGCATTGAATTAACAATTGCTGAAACACATAAAACACATCATTTCAACAGATGAAAATAGCTGTTCTGCAATAATGAACTCCAGAAACCACAGCATTCTGACTGAATTATCTCTTTTCACACTCGCTGTCTGGCCATTGTGAGGCAAAAATCCTTATGTGTGTTAGCCAATCAGCATCAAGCAGCCAGCTTCAAGACCCGCCCTGTTCCATAGATCCTCTAAGAGGGGAGATCACATCCGAGAGCGGAATAAAGATCTGATTAATGCAGAACATACATAAATCAGGCCCATTTTAGTGCATATTTAATGCAGTTTAATGAGGACATTTATGAAATTTGACAATATTTTACCAATAACCTTACAAAATTTACAAGGAAGAATTGGCTACCCTAGTATTCAATGAAAAATATCCACTGATTAACTATTATTCAACTCTAAGCAGTTGAGACTAACCACATCTCTTCGGATGAGTATCTCCTGATTCTATAGATCCATCTACATCTAGATCTTTATAAGTACAGATTGGTCTGCTAAGTTTGTTCCTGATTCTTCAAATGTTCCTGAAGTTTTGACTTTACCGGTTTGTTGAACCTCTTCATGCACCTTGGAAGGTGGGGCAGCTGTTCTAGAAACCTTTGGATTTATGTCATTTACTCTTGCCTTCTAAAATTAAAATTAAGTCACAGAGTGAAACTGATCTGCTTTAATTTTCAACTTATAAACAAAAAAATGTTTTTTTTTGTTTAATATCTAATATTTTAAAAGTAATGCAAACTAAAAGAGTCAGTGATGCATGGACTCTTTATTAGCCAGATGTTCAGAAAAATGACTCCACATAAAAACAAGACGTCAATTTTAAAATATATTTAGTTTTAACTAATTCTACCAATTTTTTGTTTAATTTTTATTCCAAGGTCAAATTCTTATAGAAAGACCAGAAAGATGTTGATTTTGTCTTTGATGAACATGCATTGATTGACCAGTAGGTGGCTGACCCACCACTTAAATAAAGCAGCTTTTTTTTAACCATTAAGCTTATTATGTAAACAAGGAAATTATTTTAAATCAATGCCCTTACCAGTAAGTTTGACGTATGAAAATAGAATAGTGCTTTTTGTGAACAGGCTGGATGCTTGCTATGCTGGCATGCATTGCTCCTTTTTGCAGCAAGGGAAATACTTTTCATTAATGAGCTCAAAATGTTACTATGGCAAATTCATAATAAACAGAATCCAAGGCGAGATAAAAAACATGCAGAGGCTTTGAAATTTCAATGCATAAAAAAAAGACCAATCAAGATTTTAGATCTTCCTGCTCAAATCTGCTCAGTCAGTGAGGGAATTATTCATCAGTGTTTAGACTGAGGATTAAGGGTAAAATTCTCCATTAGGTCCCAAACCAAAGGCCTCTGATGCCTTCCTCCTGCATCCTCTTTCACTAATATTATTTTTTCATTAATGAGTGGGGGTCAAAACAGTGCGGTGTTTGTTTGCCCTTAGCTCCGCTTCTCAACAACCGAACTTAACGGTCAGACTTAGGGGGCTTAAAAACAGCTACGAGCCATGAGTTCTCAGAAAACAGTTCAAAAGTGGAGAACAAAGCATGTTTCTCTGATAATGCTTAACTAAGGGGGGGGGGGGGGGGGGGGGGGGGGACGGTGATATAAGAAGAAAAATGTCTAAAAGACTTAAACTCACTGTTTCTCTTCTCCCTCTGATGGGTTAGAGTCCTGCTCCTTGGGCATGTGTTCCATTCACCTCAATTCCATCCAGCAGCCAATCATGAGAGACTGAGGCAAGCCCCGCCCTCCGAAGCACGCTTGTCATTCGACGGTCCGGAGGGGTCTGTCAGTAAAACGTAGCAGAGTCCCGTCCCTGGAGTACCTGGGAGGGCGGCAGTAGATGTTGGTGGGCAGGGGGTCGACCCCCAGAAGGATTGCAGACGGTTCCAAAGCTTTAGGACACAAAAGGGGTGCGGGTGTCCACAGGGGTAAATATGCTGGCCCTGAAGCCAGGGCTGGAGGTGGATGTCGCTTTCAGGTAGACAGCGGAAAAACAGGAATCCACCCTGGAAGAGAACAAAGACGATTATTACATCTCCTCTAACAACAAACAATAAACCTATTAGCAGAAAAAATATAGAACTCAGTCAGTTCAGCATCAATTCATAACCAACTGCATTTAAAGTCGTAGGGAAGCGGCTTTTCCAACCGTTGCATTTCCGAATTCTCCCGAGTGGTGCCCGACTTTACACAAGTGAATAAAGTGAATGTGATTGGTCGATTATCAAGGGGGCGGGATAGTTGTGGCAGAAGGTTCGGAAGCAAGTTTGGTTGCAGCCGATGTCTCAGAAGCATCTTGCTAACCAGTTACACTGGAAAAACGATCTAGAAATTAAGTGTATTTACCCTTAATTTGAGTGGGTAATGAGGTAGTGTGCCAATGGAATGAGTACTCTTACCCTTAAAATAAGATAATTAGATAATATGCACTTGAAATAAGACAATGCAATTGTGGTTTCTTATTTGAAATGTAAATTGTCTTGTTCCATTGGCAAAATGTCTGTTTTACCTCCTCAATTCAAGAACAAATGAACTTATTTTAAGAAAAAAATGACGATTTTTCCAGTGTAGCAACTTAGTGCTGGTAGGTTCCCAATGGGAAATTCCATTGCGACCAAGTAGCACTAAATTGGTGACTTAGAAACGACACTGTCAAGGACTGCTATGTATAGCAAAACATGCAAGACGAGGAAAGTTTAGTGTCGGAGGTCGTGGATGAGTCTCCTCCGTCATATTTTATTTAGAGGAGGAAAGATGTTGTGGAAGGGGAGGCCAGGGTGGCAGAAGCTTGGTTTGGTGTAGAAGGCTTCCAGCCGTACATGTTTGAGGCCTTGCCTCGCAACGCTGCCAGTTCTATTAGCTCTACGCCTGCTGAAGACAAAGACGTCCATCCCCGTGAACACTGGGACGCAACTCAATGGGAAAGGAAATTATTCTAATTTCTTATTTGAACCGTTGTGTATATTAGCTGCGACATATAAATCAAGATGCTATGACTGAAAAAATTTGATTGACAGAGACCGTTGATATATGATTGGCCGAATTAAGGTGAACAAGCTGACGTATAACTAACTGGCCCAAACAAAAATCACAGATTTTAAGACAGTTTTTTTTTTTATAGAAATTTTCTAAATTTTGGGACAACATAGTCTGATAAAGAGTACATTTATATACTTGTTTAAGCCAGAATAATTTAACATTTAAATATGACTTCCCTACAACTTTAAAGGAATAGTACACCCAAAACATGATAAGCCTTCATTTTCTACTCACCCCCATGCTGAACAACACTCTGGAGTACTTTTTTGATATCTCAAATGCATCTGGAGATCTGGGAGGCTTCTTGCTGTCTGCTGACATTCAAATAATGGAGGTCTATGGTGCCCGAGGCAGAAAGGTCCATAAAAGTCCACAAAAAACGTGTCAATATTCCTCCATACTGCTCGTCCAATGTATTCCAAGTGTCCTGAGTGGGTAGCATCCAGAATTTACACAAAACGAAGTCATTTAGAATGTTTTAGAGCATAAACAGTAGTGTATAGGATTTCCTAAAAGCGCGTTCACGACGCTACGGAAACCGTGGCAGACCAAACCAGATGAAAGTGCGCATTCAGCTCGGCAAAGAACTCCTGCTCTTCCTCAACACTGAAGTCCTCAGACATTTTTCTTTCGTTGTTTCTTTCTTTGCACAGGTAAACAGCACATTTCTTCTTCTACGCTTGCATTATCGGCAGAGCAGACGCTGAATGCGCACTTTCATCTGGTTTGGTCTGCTGGCTTCCGTAGCGTTGTGAACGCGCAGGTGCGCGCTTTCAGGAAATCCTATACACTACTGTTTATGCTCTAAAAACATTCTAAATGACTTTGTTTCGAGTAAATTATGGACGCTACCCACTCAGGACACTTGGAATACATTGGACGAGCAGTATGGAGGAATATTGACACGTTTTTTGTGGACTTTTATGGACCTTTCTGCCTCGGGCACCATAGACCTCCATTATTTGAATGTCAGCAGACAGCTAGAAGCCTCCCAGATCTCCAGATGCATTTGAGATATCAAAAAAGTACTCCAGAGTGTTGTTCAGCATGGGGGTGAGTAGAAAATGAAGGCTAATCATGTTTTGGGTGTACTATTCCTTTAATACTATTTGGTAGTTTCAGTACAGCAATAAAAAACATCTAAAATTTGGTTTTAAACAAATAGAAATCCAGTCAAACAAGTCAAATAAAGGGCCATGTAATCTATAAAAAAAAATAGAAAAATTGACTTCTTGCTTGTATAGAAGTATTTCAAACTGAAATAATGTACGACTCATTTTCTTTGCTCCATAGCAGGAATGCTTGTTAAAAAAAAAAAAAAAAAAATAGAAACTCTTGTGTCCATTATTGAATTTATAACAACCATGAAGAATGTAGTGATGAAGATATGTGCTTGTTTTTCTTGAGATGCTCGATGTGTTTTAACATACTGCTCTGATTTTATTTATTTTTTATTTTTTTATTCTTTATTTTTTATTATGCAAAATGTAATATGTTGTAAATACGTATGAACTTTCTGTGGTTTGGCTGCTACCTTGGCCAAGTCTCTCTTGAAAAAGAGATTCTGAATCTCAATGGGACTTCCTGGTTAAATAAAGGTTAAATAAAAAAATAAAATAAAAAAAATGTTTTCCTAAAAAGGCCAGAATTTCCCATTTAAAATGAAAGATTATTTATAAAATCAACACCTTGGTGGCTTTGGCCTGATTTATTTAAACTAAGGCGAGCCTTATGATGCATGTAGCCAAGGGGAGGAACTGCTTGAGAGCCATGAAAATAAACACGATTCAGTAGCATTCAGTTACACTCTGAATAAAGGAAGCATCAAATAATAACAATAAACTCTCTTACACCAACATCCTGTTTGGTTGCAACAATTTGTAAAAACTACAACCTTTGTTTCTGTGAGTGTTTGGATTATGGGACAACTTGTTTTAAGTCGTCAGATATATTTTGAGCTGATATAAGCTGTTAAATAAAAAAAAAAAATAAACTTTTCTGTTCTTCTCAGGTGTGGCTTAAGTTACCATGCAAATGATCTACATAATGCATGTTTCAGGGAGTCGATTGTAGAATGCTGTGTTTAGATCTTGTACATTTGAGTCAAAGCAATAAAAAAAAAAAAAATTATGTCAAGAAGTAAATATTGTCTGTAACGCCTCCCTGCTTTGATTCCAGGGCATCTGGCACTTTACCAACTTGACCTTGTGATGTTTGTTTTGTATCCGCCTTAATTTTAATTCAGATTATCCCAGTCAGGGATTGTTAATGTGCTCAAAACACCAAGCTAATAGTTGCAAACAAAAAGGAAATATTTATAACTTCCAGGAATAAAAACCGAAAAACAATTCCTGATCAACAGGAACTTCAAACATAATAAAAACAGCTTTTGGAAGAAATAAACCACAGTGCAAGTGAGAAAGCAACACCTTTACCACATGTTGTGGCTTCACAGTCTAATGCTCCAAAGCCTCCTGCGAGCAAATCTCATATTTCATCTCTCACAGCATGAACCTGGTGAGCTGAAGCTGGCTTTAGCTGGAGCACACAGCAGAAGGATTCCTCTGCGTCACACAGCAGATCTAGAGTGACAGGAGTGAATACTGCGGCCTGCAGGTTGTAATGCGCCTTCAGCTGTTACTTCGACAAATGACTAGTTTTTTCAAAGGGGAACGCTCAAGAAACCACGACTTTATATGACTAATGTCATTTCTATACGTGTACTTGGAAGGTGTTCTTGCATTAGTCTCCTGTTCTGTTTTCCTATGACAGGTTTATTCGTTCCCATGTTAATCCCTCGGTTCAGTGTCTTTCTAATCCTGAACAGTGAGGAAACGACCGGGATGCTGACCTCTGACAGAATGGATATTATTAATGCATGTGCCACTCAAAACAGATTTTCCTGCAGCTTTTTTTTCAGGTGCAGCATCTCACCCGGCAAGAAGGAGAGATTTAGAGTATTGTACACATTTTGTACACAGAAAATGTATGTAAAAAGATTCTTCGTTCAGTACAGCTCTCAAGACATTGTCATTTTTTAAAGTGAAGCAGTGATAAATGTAAACATACGACTGTATAGGATTTGTAGTTTCCAACATTCAGTTTTTTTTTATATTTAGCAATGAATGATACAGGAACATAATAACAAAGAAATTTATGAAGAATTATGTAATATTCTAGTAGAAAACAAACACAAAAACACACAAATCACACAAAAGATGTTAGGAGAATCGTATCAAATCACATCAAAAGTTCCAGATTTAAAGCTCTCGGCAGAGAATAGAAACTGAACTGTTTACACTGTCTGGATTTTGCATTGATGCGTCAACAGATCTTGGTTTTTCAGATAGCGGTTTTTCTAAACCTTCCCTTTTTCTTGTATCAAAAGGAGCCATCAGCCATGTGAAATTTCATAGCCGTCCTGCAGCTTTTTGTTCCTCCTCTGGGATGTTTCTGAGCCCCAAATTAATTACAGCAAATACATTATCTTCCTCCTGGCAGGTCTGAGGTGAATGAATGAACCTTTTGAGACGTGTTTATTTTGGGTTCCCGCTTCTGCATCACCTTTGATTTGTACTCCGGTGAGAAGATAATAACATCCAAATACTTGTGCCAGAGCTGCAAATCATGAAAAATCCAATCCAGACAATGTAATTACAGAGCCGGTAATAAAAAAAACTTTTACCGGAGGGGCTTTGGTTTGATCTGGGTTCACAGATTTTCATCTACGGGACGATTAGAATCAATCACATTTCTTATATCGCTATAAATGTTTTTTTTTTTTTTAGCCTAGGCTTTTATTGTATGAAATCAATTTAATTTTTTTTCTTGTTTTGTTTTTTTTAAACAGACTAACCCTCCACTGCTCAAATTTTCAAGAATACATGTTTTTCCTTAACCCTATAATGCCAAATGTATCGTATTTGATACATACGGTTTCTGAAATGTTTTGCATCTGACACCTTTT